ATCTGACTTTGCGGGGCACGCTATAGGGTCCAGCTCTAGCTCGTCGACGTTTGGGGGTGGAGGTCTTGCTCAGTCTGATCTGGCATTTGCTTATTATTTATCAATCAAGAATTGAGCGTGCTACGACGGCATACGAAAAGATATCGCAAATCGGGTAGAGAAATGTAAACAAATCCCAAAAGAGACGGTTAAAGCGGTTAGAGAAAGAAAAAAGGAGGGAAATTTGGTAATGAGACGTAGGTGTTATTACGTCATCGGAGACCCGCCCAACCTATGATCACCATCTTCGAGTCTCACTCGGGTGATCCCTTCTGATACCCCTTACGACTGCTGAACCATCTGCCGAGTTCAAACAAAAAATAATTACTCCATGATTTCGATACTATACTATTTTAAAAATAATAATTAAGTCTAATAGCATAATAAATTTTTCTTCCTAATATCACAAACCTCTGCATGTGTACAAAATGGGTTGGATTAGGCAATGCCTAAGAGTAGGATTTAGATCACCAATAATAAGCCGAATATAAAGCAAAAGATACAAAATAATAATTAATTGTGTGTCTCTTAGGTTAATTAATAGTTTACATTAATATTTTAATTTCGGTGGGCATGACTAAATCTTCATTAAATTTACTTTCTTTATAAATTCCCTAAGCTTTTATTTCAGTGTTCATCGTGTACTTGGTTTTCTAACTAGATTTAGTTTAATTTTTATATTCAAAAATATTTATTTTTTTAACGAAGAGAAGTCGGTTTTATTTGGTTCGGTTTTAAGTAGTTTTAACTAAATTCATCTTGATTTTAATTATCAATTTATTTTAGCGTTTAATTGGCAAAGTGACTTTTGTTAAAATTAAAGTGTTTGGCAAAATACTAGCCAATAATTATATTCTTTGTTTGTTATTACTCACAGTGAAATAATTTTTCCAGCGACGAAAGATCGATCTCCCGAGCGATGGCTGTAAACGAATGCGACTTAAGATCGCCATGGGTGGTTAATTTAAACAAATAGGGTTCACAACATGTAGCCAGCTAAATCATTCAAACCTTTCTCTAAAACTTAAAGCCATTAGTTCACGACTGCTTAATTATTAATAAAATTTTAACGAGACGGCTAAATCATTTCTATGATATAATTTTTTAACTTCCAAAACTTTTAAATTTACAAAATTAATTTAATTTACGAATTTTTTTGTTTTGTTCAATTCCAATCCATTTCATTTCATTTCATTTCAATGATTCTCTTTTTTTCCAGTTAATAATAATTCGATTTGTAATTCAAATTAATGAATTTCAAAATTCTTTCTCGCAGTGTAATTAACAAACACAAGCATTGGCAGCATGGCTCTCGCCGAAATTAGGGAACTCGTGACCGCTTATAAAAATAATGTGTGGCTCGCTTCTAATAACTGTTCGTCTCTATTATCGAGGGATCACTGTATGGGGCCGAAAAACCCACATTTTACAAATCCAAATCTAACAGCCTGGGTTCGGACACGAGTATGGGACTTAAATCTGACTTTTGGCTACCTTTACGGTTATGCCGACTGCACTGAGAACACTGAAGGACTACATTCGTACTATTTACTCCTTTTTATTCTTCTGGCAACACTTTGAGATTAAATTCCCTCGATGCTCCGCTGGCCGTAGTAGGTGCTCCGCCGGACGGAGAGGCTTAGCTCTGCTTCCTTAGCTGCCGAGCTAGTTGCTGCGCCTTTCTAGGCGATGGTGTTGCTGGTGCCCGCTGCCCTGCGATAGGGGTGCTCCGCTGGACGGGGGGAAAAATCCCAATCGGCGATGGGGTCCGGCGCTGCTGCTTCTGGAACACGTAGTCCGTTGATTCCTCAGCAATGGCGGAGGGGGCGCTCTGCCGTCTTGTCCGCTGGTCTGAAAGGGGTGCTCCTCTGGACACTTCCTATTCGAACGGTCGCGAAACAAAGATACAACAGAATTACAACAGAAAACTATGGGCATTTTGTGGCCTACCTTGCCTTTCGCCAACTTATTAGAAATTGAGAAAAGTCGCTGATGTTATGTTAAGTTATATTGAACCCGCACTCGATTAAAACGCGTGTAGTCGCTTCGGAATTTTCCAAGAAAAGAATGAGACCGGAATTTGATCTCAGGCCGGTGAAGATGGCCGTGGTTCCAAAGCTGAGTCTTGGAGTGCGACTCTGTTACAGCTGCTCATTATCGGTTGCTCCGATGCAGCTGCAGCCTAAGTGCAATAATTGGCAACGAACTATTTAAAGTGCAGACTTTCAGGCCAAATATTTATATATGGGTCAAAACGCTTCAGGCGCCGTTACACGCGCTAAGATTGGAATATGTACCCAGTGAAATATGGCATAAGTCATAATTGTACTAAAACCAGGAAAACCACCAACAAGTCATAGCGGCGTCCTAGGGCTGGTAATATATACTCACCTTATACTCGTGATATACCCCGGTACCATATTAGTCACATTTGCTAATGAAACTCCCATTTTGGAAACGGGTAAAACGATTGAGGAATTAACTGCAGTGTACTATAAATCGCGTAATTGATTGCACAAAGCCAAATCTGTTCATGTAAACTTTACCTATAGGAAAATAAATAATTTCCAGTGTTTATAAATGGAGTAAAGAGGTTAAATACCGCGGAATGACACTCGAAGCGAAGCTCAAATGGAAAACACACGTTTAGAAAAAAACGCGAAGAGCTCGTGAATGGGGAAGTATTCCAAGCTCACAATAGATAACAAACAACTTTTATATAAGCGAGTGCTATAATCAACTTGGATGTATAGTATGTAACTATAGGATTGTATCAAAAAAGTGTATGACCCTTTACTATCGACTTACTATTACTAGCGCCTCTTCTCAGCTATGAGCAGCAGGATCTCCCTCGTTATTGGGATTCGATCTGCCGCGGGCTGCAGAGATATGCTGCGAGTTGCCAATCTACCTGCTGTCTTTATTTTGTTCGTGAACAGATCAATTGCATCATCAACGTCCTCTTGAGAGGCAGAGTGGACTCCAGTTGCGATTGGAATACTTCCAGGTTAGTGCGCCTAGTGATTAGCCGCACCATTTTAGGGTATCATATTGCCCCCGTATCCAGCGTAATTACCAGAGGCAGGTGGTCGGAGTTAAGCTCAACAACCGCACTTATGCTAGCGTGCATGCCCAGCACACCCCTTGTCAGCGCAAAATCAATGTAGCCTGGAGAGCCTCTACTGCCGTACGGGTATCTCGTTGGTCCTCCTGTTGCTCGAGTTCATCTCCGAGTTTAGGACGAGATTCGCTAGGGCAAGACCTCTTTTTATGCTCCTTCCCGCACCCCAGAGCCAGTGGGCAGCATTCCAATCGCCCGCAACGATGAATCTACTCCAGAACTCTTCCAGAATGTCCTTTAACTCTTCCGTAGTCCACGCAAATCTCGGGGAGCAGTATACCATTCCAAAGCTTATAGGGCCATGCGCTCTTTCGATAACTGCCGGCGCAAGTAACACCTTATTAGTGGCTATTGGTGTTAGCGAGTAGTGGGCAAGGCCCATGATAATTTGATCATGATAGCTGCCCCGCTACGATGCGCAGCGGCATCATTATGGGGCTTGATGTGCATGGAGGGCAGTGAGCAGATTAAGAATCTGCCCTTGCTGCTGTGTTTATTGTTGCTGGCTTAGCAAAATCATAATGATCTCCATCTGTTTTTCTTGGAACGCCCGGAGGGAGTTGATGCTATCACTCAGCGACTTGAGGTTGGCTTCGATGTTGTTGTTGGTGTCCATCGGGTGCTGTAGTAGCTCTCCCGTTGCCCTTTGTCGGGTGCGGCTCCGGTTGTTACAGTGCTGTTGGGTCTGCTGCTGGTGCTGCCTTGCTACAGCTGCATAGGAGACGCCGCCTTGAAGGGTAGCAGTCGGCCTTTTTCCGGTGGTGTAGTGTGGCAAGCTTCACTCAGTGCCTTCGGTTTTGCTTCCAAGTCCACCTTTGGGCCTCGAGCGTTGTAGATACTCCTGGTACTTTGTGCAGCCCGAATAGTTGTAGGGTGCTGTTTACCACAGTTGTAGAAAGTGCATTCCTCACTTCGTGCTCGAGTGCAATCCTTGGCATAATGCTCCACCACCGCACTTCACACAGATGTGAGCTCTCCGGCAGTATTTGGCCGTGTGATCAAACTGCTGGCATCTATGGCATTGCACGAAGCAGTGCGCTTGCGAAGTGGTTCTATTACCACTCTCGTATGGCATAGAGTAAACTCTTCTTTGATCTGGCTGGATAGTGTGCTGTGTTGCAGACCTTTTATGCAGACTCTGTACGGTCTGTCCTCCTTAAGCTGGTAGCTTCTAAATTAGCTGGCGTGTCCGCGAGAAATCCGAAACGATTTGATGTCATCCTTCTTGACGAGGTTAACTTATTTCCTCTCAAAATTTGGAGAAGCGCCTGGTATTATCTTGCGCTTAATAGTTTGGAAGCGGGTGTGTATCCCAGCTGGGGATCCATAGGCGCTCGAAAAAGAACCAGTAGTCCGGGGTCAATGTCGTGGCAGCCTCGGTTGCACCAGACCTCCACCGACACCAGCGATGTTCCTTGGCAATACTACGTAGAGTGCTTTTAACTGTAATACATGAACAACATCATTATCTCAAACAACATAGCATATCCGTTGTCTGTCTGTCTCCTTGCTCGCCTATCTATCAATCTGTGCGTTTAGAGAACTTGTGCACATTCTGTCTTCGTAGTGCAAACTTTCTGTCACGGAGAATAATATACAAATTTTACAAAACAATAGAATTTAAGGGTAGAAAAAATGCTGAAATGTCTTCAAAATTAAAAAAAACACTATATTTATTCTTCCGTTATAAACATATCTCTAAAAAGAATATTTTAATTTAAACTCAACCACTTACAAAATATATATTATATTTATAGTTTCATAAAAATATAATGCTTATACCGTTCTTTATGTATAGAAATTTTCTGTAAAAGTGGTAACAATTTATTTTTCGTTTCAGTCCCTGGAAAGTACGCGACGTATGCTTGCTCTGTGTGAGGAGGTAAGAAAATATAAAAATATATGTAATATGTTAAATTTAAATAGTAGAAATAAGAAATAATGGCACAAACATACTAAAATATGTTATGTATTCCTGAGTTACCGCTTTTGTCACTTCCTATTTTTGAATTTCACTAAAAGATAGTTGACTCGATTTACCTAATGGTTAGGGCCATTACGGATAGTTTTTAAAGTCTTAATTTTCAGTCTATGTTTATAAATAAATTTAAATTCATAAATCGCTTGATAACTACATATAATTATAATTTAATTAACCCCTATGCACACCTTCACATTTTTACAAAAATTAAATTTTGCCGTTTTCATGCGGTCCTTTTCAGACATGAGTTCACCATATGTTTATAAAAATAAGATTACTTAAATTACATTTGTAATGTTTTCGAGCTTTTGTGAAATGAAAAAAGCACAATGAAAAATGTATATAAAATATTATTAAAAAATCCTCGGGATTGCATACCGCTCAAAAAAAGAAAAAGTTTCATGAATATATATATTATATATGAACAAAAGTAAGAATTTGTGTGTGTAATAATTCGTAACTAGCTTAAAATTTTGCTGGTTTAATTTTTTATTTTGATATTTTTTCTAAACATCGCTTTTCCATGGTTTTCCATGGTTTTAACTATGAACGATTTATTATGTGCGATAAACTCACATTAGTACAGTTTTTATTGAAGATAATTGATCATTTTAGTGAAAATGTGGCAAAAATGTAGAATATGTTTCCTGCCCTACAAGGTATAAATATTCTTGATCAGCATCAATTGACGAGTCTCCAAAGCTACGTTCCTCAAATGCTGTATGTGGCATGTTCGTTTCTGATTAACTTGATCTACTCTGTTAAGAAAAAACCGGAGAACAAAAACTTAAAAAAGAAAATTAAATTTTAACAGATTCAAACAGATTCTTTATTAGGACTCAGTGCTTTAGTAACACCTACGTGTAGATGCTGGGTACAAAGCGTCGCAGGTTAGTGTAAATAGTTATCTGCCTATATATATTTTTGTTCTTTAATTTTATCAGTATCAGTCTTATCATATAATCATATAATATATAATTTCACCATGATGATGATTATGATTACGATTCTAAGTCAACATTATTGGGATATTATTTATATGTTTGACCTTCTCCTTCTTTTAAAGTAAAGAGTATCAAAAACCGGAACATCAGAAGTTTCAAAAGTTATTGATATCCGCTCAAATCAGACTTAATATTGAGATTTCGTTTGGCGACCATATATCAAAAGGGTAAGATTTTATATTTTTAAACTGGATATTTCTTTCTTTTCCGTATTAGACGAAGACATCGAGGTCTTTTACTACCGAAATACCTCGGTTTGATTATGTCAGGGTAAATAAAAATCTATCCGTGTTGAGGTATAAACCGATCGGGAACCGAGATCGATAGAAATTGGCAAAACAAATAAAAAAAAGTCTTCTGGCAAATCTTTAAAAATGTTTCAAAAGTTTTTGCATTGCAGTTTTGGGTGGTTTGTGGGCGTGACAAACTAGAGCTGCATATATGTATGCTTCTAGTAGCTGCATGCTTAATCTCAACATTCCATAGTTCCTGAGATCGAGACGTTCATACGGACGGACAGACAGACAGACGGACGGACGGACAACAGGCATGGCCATATTGACTCTGCTATTGATCCTGATCAAGAATATATATTCTTTATATGGTCGGAAACGCTTACTTCCGTTATTTCGATACGTCTCTGTGGAAAATACCTGAATATGGATTGATTTTTATTTACACTGACATAATCAAACCAAGGTATGTCGATGTCGTCATCTAATGCATTATAACGGAAAATAAATAAATATTCAGTTTAAAAATATTGAGTTTTACCCTTTTATATGGTCTCCAAACGAAACAATATTAATTCTGATTCGCGTGGATATAAAGTAACTTTCGAAACTTCTGCTGTTCCGGTTTTTGATACTCTTCACTTTAAAAGGAGGAGAAGGTCAAACATAATAATCATTAGTATAATAATAATAATAATGGTGAAATCTTATCAAGATTATTATGTGAATTGAATGTAGATTGTGTAATATAGGAACCCTAGGTGTAATCCCAAGAATTATTAATCAGTCACAAGACGTATCACAAAAGAAAAAAAATCTTCAAGTAAATTAAACATTACCGATATTTTTTCTAACGCAAAATGAGTAACCAAACAGAATGCATGAAAAGCGAATTTGATTCGTATCACACCCTACGCAAAGTACTATTCTAAGAACAGAAGAGGTTTCTTATAATTCAATTGCATTCTAGGACTGTGCTTCCTCAATCGAAACTGGTGCAACTGGGAAAAAATGACAAACGTTATTGTAGAAAATGCTGTCGGTGTAGTAAACAATATCTTACGTTCAATATTTAGATATTGAATCTTACATATTTACATTCCATTCAATTGGAGGAAGTGCGAACGTGAAATTTTAAAATTTTCAGAAAAATCGGTAGAAATTTGGAAAAAAAATTATAAAATAAAATTTTAAACTGTTTCAAAATTTGTTGGCTTGACAAAAAGTTTTTTGGCAAATCGATAGGTATTTACAAAATTACCAAAAAATTAAAAAAAAAAAAACAATCAATACATTTTTTAAAGTTTGGGAGGTTTGGGAGGTTTTATTAGCGTTAAAGTGCCCGTGGCAACATCAGTTAACAAACTTGCTCTGCGTCTATTTCTCTGGAACCTGCATGCCTAATCTGCTTTCTAGCTTTCCGGTTTTTATAGTTCCTGGGATCTCCATATGGTCCTTATATTGTAGGAAACTGTTACATACTTACAGACCTTTTTAGCAAAGACATTGTGCGGACCTTTAACTCAAGATGTTAAATGTGGAAGGAGGCCAACATATCAAAGCGTAGTACAGAAAGACAGTTTAGAGAAACGGAATCTGTAGAGAGTTTGGAGATCAATTGTAAAACGAGAGTCCGGAGGAATAGAGTGTGAAGAAAGAGAGTGTGGAGAGCAGGAGTAAGACGACACACGTTAGAGCAGTACAACAGCAGAACAGAGAGTGTCTGCGTACCGATTTAATGGAAGAAACGGTACCAAACCGTGGAATTTGGACCAAGCAAACGGTAAAACTTTGGACTTTGATGGGAAAGTCAAGAAGAACGAGAATAAGAGTGAACAACGCGAAGAAATGCAAGCAGCAAGGGAGCTACAGCCGTCCATTAAAACAAAGCACGGCTAGGCTGAGACGCCTTCCTACACCACACTAGACTTTGGCGTTGGGCCGACGAGTCCGATAGTCATTGAGCATTCGGGCCCAATTGGGTGCAGACCCGCTCTACTGTTTCGGAAATTGCGTACGTAAACCAGGCGGTTGCCGTGTTGTTGTTTCACCCGGCAGTTGCCTGTGACGCAGACGTTAGCTATCTGGAGTCTTCCTACGACAGCAAGTGGTGGGAACTGAACAGGCGTCTGGCGGGACCGGCCGGGACAGAGCAAGAAACTAGAGGTTGCGGCTAGCACGGCGTTCGCCTTGAGGTACCAGCACCTGTTCACCCTGGTCTTCGAACGGTAACGCTTACCTAAGACCACCTTCTCGCCAAGCACTTCCCCGACGAAGGAGAACCCCACAACGGGGAATCAAATCAAAATGTAACACGAGACATATAAAGATCAAGGAAACTAGAACTGCTAGTGTTGTTACTGGTATCCCGGTTGTTACTGGGTGATCACGTTTAATATAAATTTGGTGGTATGAGTACACAGAATCTTCTGAGATAGCTGCTCTAGTATCGAGAAGACCAATAAAATCAGATCGCTATAACATTAGAATAAAATGATGCGTAACGTCATACGTTTTTTTTCAGACGATCTTTTTGTGCTTGAGCCAGAGAGAGAGAGAGCACAGAGAGCGCTCTAGAGCCAGCAGATCTCTTGGACACATACAGCTACATTTGACCACTGTATACATACACGTATGCTCATGTATTGTAAATTGTAAAATTTTTATTGTTAGTCTTGTAAATTCCTATAAATTTGCCAAACTACTCTTATCCAACAGAAACCGACAAAAAAAAAAGTTTTAATATTATAATAGTTTGGCAAAAATCTCCCTTCCGCCTCTTTGCTCTTTATTCAATGCTTTATAAAAAGTGTTACAGTGATCGGATTTAGTTCAAATATGCGCCGTTTTGTTCGATAATCTGTTTCCATCTAGACGGCAACTTCATAATACCTCCCTCGTAGAAGCCACCCTCCTTATTTGCGAAGAACTCGGACAGCCCCTTTTCACAAGCCTCTTTTGAATTCAACTTTACACCACCAAGGGCATTCGCCATGGACAGGAACAGGTGGTAATCACTTGGCGCTATGTCCGGGCTATATGGTGGATGCGATATAACCTCCCATCCGAACTCCCGTAGCTTCTGACGAGTCATCAACGAAGTGTGTGGTCTGGCGTTGTCCTGGTGGAACACTACACCCTTCCTTTTGGCCAATTCTGAACGCTTCTGGTCGATCGCCTGCTTCAAGCGGTCCAGTTGTTCGCAGTAGATGGTAGAATTAAGCGTCTGGCCATATGGGAGCAGCTCATAGTGGATGATTCCCTTCCAATCCCACCAAACACACAGCAAAACCTTCCTGGCCGTCAATCCCGGCTTGGCCACTGTTTGGGACGATTCACCGGCCTTCGACCACGACCGTTTTCGCTTGATATTGTCGTATGTGATCCATTTTTCGTCGCCAGTCACCATCCGCTTCAAGAATGGGTCGAGTTCGTTCCGTTTCAGCAGCATATCGCAGGCGTTGATTCGGTCCAGAAGGTTTTTTTGCGTCAAATCATGCGGCACCCAAACATCAAGCTTTTTTTTGTATCCAGCCTTCTGCAGATGGTTTAAAATGGTTTGGTGACTAACTCCCATCTCCTGGGCGATGTCACGAGATGCCACATGCCGGTCTAACTCGATGTATTCCATGATTTGATCGGTATTTGTCGTCACAGGTCTTCC